AAAAAGCAAAGAGAGAAAGGCTGTGGAAATGTTGCAGGTTAAAGGAGGTAAGAGACACATGACAGCTAATTGTGATACCTGACTCCTGACCAGATCCAGAACGGGAGGAGGAAAAGCCAGCAAGGACCTTATTAGCTCCAGTGACAACCCGGAATACAGAGGGTGGCCGAGGTAAAAATATTGTATCAGCGTGAATTTACAAAGCGGACAACTTTACCGTCGTTATGCAAGGGAATGTCCCTGTTCTTAGAAAAGTATCTAGGGGTAAAGGGCCAAGATGTAAGTAACTTAAGCTCAGATGATTCAGGAAGAACATTATGTATGCACAGAGAGAGTGTTTAAGTGATAAAGCCAATGAAACAAGATGTTAACAATCCACAAAGGGTATGTGGATGTTCCTATTAAAAAATGTTTATCTATTTTTGAGAGAGAGAGAGAGGGAGGGAGAGAGAGCCAGAGCGAGAGCAGGGGAGGGGCAGAGAGAGGGGGGGACATAGAATTGGAAGCAGGCTCCAGGCTCTGAGCTGACAGCACAGAGCCAGACGAGGGGCTTGAATCCACAAACCGGGAGATCATGACCTGAGCCAAATTGGGACGCTTAACTGACTGAACCACCCAGGCACCCCTGGATGTTCTTATTTTAATGTAGTATTTCTATTCTCAAGCTTTGTGAAGTCTGAACCCATTTCCAAATGGAAGTTTTAAAAGCTAAAATATTTAGCAGCAGAACTGGTTATTGCAAACAAAATCCCATGTGGGACTCCATGTGTAAAACAGGGACAAACAAGGTCGTGGCCCAGCTTGTGTTGTGTCCCCTTGGTGGCCCCTGGGGTGCCTCCTGGAACCCAGCATGGAGACCACTGAGTGGTGGGGAGGCAGCAGCCATTCCCGCATCCTAACATGTCAGACACTCACACAAGTATTTGGTTGCATCTGGTCCTCGAAACAGCCCTGAGAGGCATTCCCAGACCCATTTTATGAGTGAGAAAACCAAGGTTCTAGGAGATGATTAGTCCCTAGGAGATTAGTCCCTCCTGGATGGAAAACATCCAGATGCCTTCTAGGTGTTCTCCCCGCTCCTGCATGACAACCTGATTAGCAGGTCTTATCATCCTTGTTTCATATGCATGCAGAGGCCCCATGAGATTCATGTCCAAGGCTACAGCACTGAAGCTACAGTTCAAACCCAGGTCTATGAACGAGGCCAAAGCCCCCGCTCTTCTTGGCAGAAGCTGCTTCCTCCCAGGTGAAGAAGCCGGGGCTCGGAGCGGGGCAGCCCCAGCCTGCTAATGGCAGAGGTGAGATTGGAAGCCCGCGGGCTCACAGCCCAGTGCTCCCCCAGCAGCGGGAGGGGAACACACTGCTCCTTGACGAGAGACTCATTTGTTCCCAGCGGGGAAATCTTCCCACGGAGCCCCGGCCCTGGCCTGAATTTCTGGGCTCAGAGTTTCCCTGCCTGGAGCTGGCTTCTGAATCAGCAGAGAAGAGTCCAGCCTCCCTCCCGCGAGGACAGGGAAACTCTGAGCGTCCTCGTTCCTCTCTGTTCGTTCATGTGCCTTGCCTGGGCACATCCTCTCCAGCGACTGCCTTTCTTTCCTTTCCTTCTCCCTCGACATTAGCTATTCCTTCCCCCATTCCCTGGTCTCTGGTAAGGTCTGAGTGAGTAAATTCACCGTCAGCAAGAATCATGGTGTTTGAAGTCACTGGCAAGAAATAGGGTGTTTAAAACAACTGCAGAAAGCCCAAGGCTTCTGAGTAAACCAGGACTTACTGGAAATGGAACTGTCCCCTTCAGGCCCCAGACCGTCTCCCTGATAACGTCTCAGGGTCTGCAGAGTCCTTAGCTCGGATTTTACCCCGAGCCTCGGCGCGGCCCCGGGAGAAATGATTCCCCAAATGAGGAGTTCAGACAGGGAAGGTAATTGCCCTGATTAAGTGACAGCCGCTGAGCTAGATGCAACTTTACAGACTTAATTACATCTCGTGATGGCCCTATAAGGTGGGTATGGCTCTGCCCGTTTAACACAGGGGTAAACTAAGGCTCCAAGCACCTATGTAGCCAGGATACAGTCACATAGCTGGGAAGGAAACCTGGATCTTTCCCGACCACATGCCTCTGAGGTCCCAGGCCAGCCTCTCTGTTCTCTCTCTGAGGCTGCTCCCAGCAAAGGGTCCTGCGGGGCTCTGGCTCCTCTCTGGTTCGATCCGGTTGTACTGTTGCTCCCTGCCCACACTGGGCAGGACACCCCGAGCTCCCCTCCCCAGCTGCTGCACATCTGGGGTAGCCTGGCTCTGGGAAGGACTGAGAAGGTCCTGGCCGGCCCCTTGCCACCTGACAACAGGGTCTTAACCTTCCGTTCCACATTGCTGCCGTGAGCCACACCGGATACTTTCCCAGGGCCCCACACCCTCGGGACCAAGCACGTCGAACTCTGATTGAGAGCTCGGGGTTCTGAAGGCTGCTTGCTGCCCTCACCTTATTTCCTTGGGGATTTTTAAGGAGTTTACTTGGTTGTGGAGTTCACATGCTGGACTGCTCTCTGGGGTCCGGACTGCACAGGACGCTGGGTCTCAAAGTCTGACATCCGCCCCACGATAAGAAAACCTCCACTTTGCCATACCGTCCCCACTACCAGAGTCTCTTTTCCAGTCACATTTCCAACGTTACGCTAAATGCTGAAGGCGCGGCTCAACGGCTCTAACTGAACATGGTATCTGCTTAGAGGGAACAGTGTTCGTTCTAATGACAGCAATGGGACACAAGTCAATTTAACCCCAAAGAGTGACTCCAACCTGGAATGGTGGCCAGTACCAGGCCTATGAGGGAGCTTTCCTAGGGGAAGGGGACCTTGCACCATCCCTCAATTGCTTTTTGCTGGCCTATGGCCAAACGGGCCTGCTCTTCTCCAAGGTAGATGGAGAGAATCCCTCCCCTAAAACAGCCACCATTTGTTGGGTCTGTTAGGTCCTGCGCATTGAGGTTGACATTTTACATGTCATTTTATATGTTGCTTCTAATATTCATAAGTGACTGAGTATGGCTTTTGAACTATTAGGGGTCTGAGTTTCCGCTTTGTAAAACAGCTTCCTTGGGTGAAGAAACTGAGCTTTAAGGGGTGAAGTTAATTATTTGAGGTCACAAAGAGAGTAAGCAACAGATCAGAAATTTAAACCCACGTCTGTGTGACAACAAAGGTAACAATCCTTTTGCTCTGCATTACCACGGCTGTCATGTACGGGCACACAGGTTGCTCACTGCAAAAGGGCATCCAGCTGAAGAGGTGATCAGGGGATAAAATCCAGCCATCGTTCTGTTCACCAAGGCATACACCATGGTGCAATAATGCCTGTTCTTGTCTGCTAGAGGAGTGCTGTGGTAAACGGATTGTAAATGGTCCCAATATTCCCTTCCCTACATCTGTACCCCCTTGCAATGTTACTTTGAAGCTCTTCCTATCAAATGAGTTTAGTCCTTTGCCCCTTGAATCTGAGCCAGTCTTGTGACTAAATAGGTCAGTGAAATGTCAGAATTGTGTTGTGCCAGTCCAACTCAGATCCTAAGAGGCCCTGCAGGCTTCAATTGCTCTCTTGGACCCCAGTGACAGTGATGGGTACAGGCCCAGATTCACCTGCTGGAGAAAGAGAAACATGGCCCAGTAACCTGCATTCCAGACCAGTGAACAGCCACTCAGCCCCCCAACATATGAGCAAGGCCGCCCTAGCCCAGCCAGCCTCCAAACAACCCCACTGACCACAGACCCATGAGCCAGCCCAGACAAGCTCAGGCACGCCTGACCTGATCAGCATAACTGCCAAACCTCGTCGTGAGCAAACAATAAATGCTAACTGCTTGAGGTGGCTGTTGTGGGTTGAACTGAGTCCCTCCAAAATTCGTACGTTGGAGCCCTAACCCTCAGTATCTAGGAGTGTGACCTTATTTGGAAATAGGGCCGTTGCAGATGTCATCAGTTAAGATGAGGTCATACCAGAGTAGGGAGGACCCCTAATCCAATGTGACTGATGCCCTTGCAAAATGGGGAAGTTTGGACGCACACGCACGCACGCACACACAGGGAGAATGTCGTGTGAAGACTGGAGCGTGTTGCCACAAGCCAAGAACTACCAGAAGCTACCAGAAGAGAGGTCTGGAACACACTCTTCTCCAGAGCCTTCAGAGGCAGCATGACCCTGCCCACAGCTTGATCTTGAACTTCCAGCCTCCAGAACCATGAGACCATCAATTGGTGCTGTTTCAGCCACCTCGTGTATGGCCCTTTGTGACGGCAGCCATAGGACACGAATATAGCACCTTCTCCTGATCAACACACACACTGAGCATGGCCTGTGTGCCGTGCTCTATCGTGGCAGCTAATCCTGGCCCCCTCGTGACCCCCAGGTAATGCTGGAGAGGTGCCCGGGGTTCCACTCCGCCATGCCTCGTCCTGCCCCAACAGGGCTCTGAACCTGGAAAGGCCTCCCCGGCGCCTGCTAAGGGCTCCGGAGTCCTTGACGGGGACGGGGTCAGAGACCAAACAATAGTGCTGTTCCTAGAGAGAGCCCCTAGCCCGGGCTCCTCTGCCTGCCCACCTACCTGGGTTGCCGAGGGCCATGGAGTCATAGATGAGCTTACAGGTCTTGAGCAGGATGGAGATCTTCTTCTCCGGCGAGTAGGCCTTGTACATGCTGGTGAATTTCTGCAGGATCTTCTCCATGATGGGCACCTCCGGCACACTGGTGGTCACGCCCAGGTCGGTGGTGGTGGTGGCCAGGATCACCAGCTGGTTCTCCCTGAGCTGCTGCAGCGAGCCGTCCTTGCTGTGGATCTCACGCAGACACGAGTTGATGGCTTCTTTCAATGGCTTTAAGACGCACTTGTACAAGGCAGACTCCACAATCGCTTCTGTGCGGGGTGGGGGGGCAAGAGCGGGCCGGTGAGGAACCCAGCGGCCGGGATCCTACCAGCAGGCTTTAGTGTTCAACAGTGTGGTGTCCCCATCTCCTTGTCCCTGGAAGGACACACTCGATGCCCCAGAAGTTATGCCCTGCAGTTCTGACACATGGGACAGTGTAGTACCTTCAACAGAAAGCCACACTGCCAAGACACTGGCGCAGCGTCTGGGACTGAAACCTTATATCCTGACACTTTTCATAGGGCGTGGTACTTATTAAACTCTCACAGGGTTGCCTACCAATGTACAACTTCAAAGGGCACTGTTTACATGGGAGTTGTGCAGTATACAACCTGTGCAGTTGTACGCGGAGGACCTGGGTGCCCAGTAAATGTTTGGTAGAAATCTTCTTTTCTTTTTTTTTTTTAAATGTTTATTTTTGAGAGAGAGAGACAGAGAGGAAGGGAGAGAGAGAGAGAATGGGTGCAGTGGAGAGGCAGAGAGAGAGGCATCCAGAATTGAATAGGCTCCAGGCTCTAAGCTGTCAGCACAGAGCCTGAAGCTGGGGCCTGAACCTTAATTTAACCTTGAGATCACATGCACCAGCCAAAGCTGGATAACCTGAGTCACTGAGTCACCCACCAGGTGCCCCTGCAGCATAGTTTTTGATGTCTCTGAATCAATTCACTGACTCTTAAAGCTCACAAATACATGCATAATCCAGAATTCACTTTTTTTTTTTTTTTTAATTTTTTTTTTTTCAACGTTTATTTTTTTGGGGACAGAGGCATTTACATACACAAACGTGGGAGGCAGAAGAGAGGAGACACACAGAATGCAGCAGGCTCCAGGCTCTGGAGCCATCAGCCCAGAGCCTGACGCCTCCTAACTCAATCACAAACAGACCCGGCTGAAGCCGACGCTTAACTGACTGCTGTTTCACCCAGGCTCTAGAATGTAAATTTCTGGCCACCCATACTACTAATACACCTCAACCTGGCTGTTGTGCTTTCTGTTGCCCAAAGAAAAACAGGCCTTCTCTGCCCCTGGCTCCTCTTTTTTATCCATTCTCGGCACAGCAACCAGCATAATCCTGCTAAGGCATGTTTGATCATGATATTCCCATGCTTTGGAGACATTCTCCAACGCAAGCTGTCACACATCTCATGCAGTAGCTAAGCCACAAAGTCTTCTGCGGGTTTAGAAGTCTCCCCCATGATCTGTTCTCACTCATCACCTTGCTAGGTCCCCTGTGCTTTTGCTGCTCCAGCCCCCCCCCCCCCCCCCGGCCTCCCTGCTTTTCTGCCAACCTGCCAGGCTTGCTCCTGCCTCAGGGCCTTAGCACCTGCGACTTCCTTTGCCTGGAGAAGTCACTCCACAGCTATCTACATGACCTATTCGTTGTTCAAATGTCATCTTACGCAAGAGGCATCCCGATCAGCTACTGGAATGGGATTTAGTCAGCTTTGCTCTCACAGCAACTCTGCAGCTTACACGTCATGACCACTCCCCTCTGCAGATGGACCAGCTCGGGCTCTGATGGTGTGGGTCGCAGCTAGGTGGGGCTGAGCAAGGATCTGAACCCATGGCTACTTGGCACCGTGGCTGCTTCGGGTGACAGTAGGGAAACGTTCTTGGGAAGTCTTTTTAGCTCCACCCCATCCCCGGGGAGCGGGGAGGGTCTCGACTATTGCCTAGTAAGAGGAGGCCCCCAGGTCCTGTCTATCTAAGAACGCACCTGAGCTGCCCTATCCCTGGGGGATAAGGGAGGGACCCACGCTCTCGTGGTTGAGTCTCAGGAGAGATCCAGATAACGCCTTCCTTCCATGCAGGCCTGGGCCTGGCCCATGTCTGGGTTTGGTGCTGGTCCTAGCTATCTGCCCTCCTCATCACACCTCCTTCTTCCCCTTTGCTTCTCCAGCCTGTGCGACAGGACGCGCGGCCGCCCCGGTCCACCTCAGCCCACTGCTGCCCGTCCTTCCAGGCCCGCATCACGACCCCACTGCCCCAGAGCAGAGCAGCTAGAGAAGCGGTGACCCGAAGGCAGGGACTTGGCGGTTAGCTTCCCCCGAAGCCTCTGGCTCCCGTGGGAGCTGGGCCGAGTCCTTTCTTCATCTACATCCACAAAACGAGAGAGGGCTGTGGCCCGTGCCCTCTGGGGGCCCGGCATCTCTGAGAGCCACCAGACCTGCGGAGACTGCTCTGGCCCTCCGCAGCCACGTTTGTTTGTACCTCTTTTGCCTCCAACTGCTCCTCGTGACTCGTCTCCCTAAGAAAATCAGGAGCACCTGGGCGGGCAGGGGGCGCGGGGAGGTCCCGCCGGCCTCATATGTGGCTGGGGTTCTCCCACCGTCTACCTGGCCCAAGGGCAGAAGTTGGAACGGCAGAGGGGTTCGTTCACGGAAAGGGTTGGATTGTCTGGAATCGGCCCTCCCTGCTGCCCGCGCCCGGCCCCCCTGCCCGGGACTGACCTAGCTCCTCCTCGGAGTGCAGGGTGGGGTCCACCAGGGCCTTGAGCTCGGTGCTCTGCAACAGGTAGCTCTTGAGCTGGGTCATCATGGTGCGGATCTCCTGCAGCATCTCCGTGCTGGAGGTCTGGCGTGCCATCATCTCCAGGCTGTAAACTTTGTAGTCCTGCACCAGGTTTCCGAAGTACGAGGCCTTGTCCTGGGCCAGCTCCACCACCTTCTTGTACAGCTTGCGGTTGTTGGAGAGGAAGGCGTGGAAGACATTGGTGAAGCTCGCGAAGCTGAGGCGGTGGCGTGCCTTGCCCAGGACCGCCGAGGGCTTCTTCTTCCCGCCGGAGCTGCTGAAGTGTTCTAGCTCCTCCTCCGTGCTGCTGGTGGAGTAGGAGTCCTGGTCTGTGGCCGAGGCGGGCACTCCCAAACTGTCCGCGAGCGAGGCCAGGGAGCCCTTGAACTCTGGAGAGCTCTGGGGTCGGGCACCGGTCTGGGCGTGCGGGCTCTGAGTCCTGGTCTGGGGGTCGGGGCTTTGGCCTCCTCTGGACGGACCGGGTGTGGGTTTCTCACGGGCTTCCTCCTTCGTGGGAGGCTCCGTGCTCTCCGAGGGGCTCGCGAGGCCCGAGGCCAGCTGCTGGGAGATCCGTCTCCTCCTGGGGGGCGGGACTGGGGGTTGCCGGATCTTCCTCGGCGGCTCTGGCATGCTGCCCGGATCACTGGCCTTGGCCACCGCTTCCTGACCTTGCTCTTTGGTCCTCGGAGGCCGCTCCCCAGGACTGTCTGAAGTCCCCCGGGGAGGCAGGCTGAGTGTGGATGCCCTACAAAGACCCAGCTGGTCCCCCTCTGCTGCCATCCCCCTGTCCGCCTTCCCTGCACTCTGGTCCTCCAGGGAGACCTTCTCAGAGATGCGGCGTCTGGGAGGAGCCGCCGGGAGGTTCTTCTTCACGGGTGTCGGAGGGGCAGGGGTCTGCGGCAAGGGGCTAGGGGGCGGCCCTGGCTTCACCTCTTCCTCCCTGAGGGGGCCCAGGCCTGTGGGAGGGCGTGGAGACCTCTCACAGGCTGCCATGGGTGGCTGGCTTGGAGG